CTATTTGGAAGTGCTGAAAAGGCTGCGTGAAAAAGTTAGACGACCTGAACTTTTTGCCAACAATTCATGGCTCTTGCATCACAATGCACCAGCTCACACTGCACTGTTTGTGAAGGAGTTTTTAGCCAGTAAACACATAACTGTATTGGAACACCCTCCTTGCTCACCTGATCTGGCCCCCAGTGACTTCTTTCTTTAATCGAAGATAAAGGAAATATTGAAAGGAAGACATTCTGATGACATTCCATACATCAAGGGTAATACGATGACATTGGTGCATAGCTTCCCAAGGGGAGTACTTCGAAGGTGACTGTAGTGATATTCAGCAATGAGGTATGTAGCGCTTTTCCTAGGATTAATTTGTGAACTTAATTTTCCGACCTCATATGTCTGCACATTCAGTATCTTGGTTCCTTTTCAAACTTCCATGGGTGTACTGACCTGAGCCCCTTTTCCCACCTCTCCTCTTCCTGGCTGCAGCTGCTGTATCCTTGGTCCTTGTTGTCAGGTCCTTGATCTTCAGCCTCTTCCTTGTGACCGTTGTTACTGTCTGTGGGCAGCCGGGTGCTACCCATAGGCCTGTTGGGATTTGCAAACTCCTGCACTGAATTCACATCAAATAAATACCCGTCCTCCTCCTGGGGCTCATCTTGGCACTGCCCCAGAGCGCCTTCTCTCCCTGCAGCACACAATTCAAGCTGCCGCAGGCCACATACTTGTCCAGGAGCTGTTGGTTGAGAAAGTTCTTGTCCCATTTAAATTTCTGCAGAAAAATGACAGCAAGATCCAAGAAGCTCCTGGTGCAAACTGTGGCAGAAAAACCTCCACAGAAGACAGTTTGCAGGGCCAGCCATATAGTTCACAGCTGGCAGCTACCCAGTGGGTCAGAGATGCAAGAGGCTCTCTGGCATCTTCCCGAATAGCATCTCCTCTAGTCTGGCATAGGAGCAGTCCTATGTGTCACCAGCTGCCTATCTGTGGGGGACATATGCCAGGTACCCAGGGCTACTAAACATGTGGCCCCCACACAGGCAACCCACAAGCCCAGGAGGATCAGCTTGTTGATGCTGTGTGGGGGTCACAGTGAATTAGCTCCCACAGTGTCGGCACTCAGCATAGCACCACTGGGCCTGGGTCGCCTCGTCCTAGAACACCTGCAGTTCCATGGGCACTCAAAGCTCTACCCTGACAGCAGCCCTGGGAACGCCCAGCAAGGCTACCTTCTGTGTCCTGCCCAGCTCTGTTCCTGCAGCGCATGGGCCATGGTGGGGAAGCAGAGGCCCTGAAACATTCAGCAGGGTTCCTCAGCACCACTTTAATTATCATTTACTAAGTAACTCATAATTTAAATAATCTTTTGATTACCTCAAAACCATGCTCAAGGCTGGACATACGTAAATTACTAAACAAAGTTTAGATTTTTAATTTGAGCAAAATTCTTTTCCACTTAACCTCCCAAACTCTCAATTCTAAACACATACACATTTGGATGACAGAATGTCTATGCTAAGGATTCTATGGGAGATAACATCAATGGGAAAATTAAAAAAAAATTGTTTTCTATATTATAATTACACATCTCAGGAATTTTATTTTGGTAAGTTGGCTATGAAAACTTTCAACTTCCAGGAATTATAATTGCAGGCTTTTGTGCATTAGCTAATGAAAGACCCAGAATTTAAAATAGCTAAGTTGATGTTTTTAAACAGGAGTACATTAAACTAAAATATTAAGATATGTATCACAAAGCAAAACTTTAACATCAGTGTAACAGAGAATCCATCCTGAACTAGGTAACTGATTTTTTATCTTCCTTCACAATTATTCAATTGTATTTATCCAACAATTTCACTTATTTTTAACACATTGGCATTATTTTAATCTCTACCCTATACTTTTTGTCTTATTTTTATTCTTGTGATCATTACGTTGTCAAGGGTCCTTTGCTCTCAACATATCATATTGTGAGATCATAATTGACTAAATATCCAAACCACAATAGTTAGAAAGTATAGCATGGAAGAGAGAGAAACTGAAGGACAAATAGGGTGGAAGAGAAAGAGGTGAGAAGCAGATAAAGAGTAATAGAATGTCAGCAAAAGTTTTTTTTTTTCTACCATATTACATAAGGCATGGGTTTTTGTTTGGCTCTTTAAGTAATCACAGTAGTTCCTAAAACATAGAAGTGCTCAGTATATATTTGTTAAAGAAATTAAGCATTTTAGGAAGATGTATATTATAAAACTTTTTTCTAATTAAAATGTATTGGGGTGACAATGTTAGTAAAATTACAAAGGTTTCAAGTGTATAATTCTATATTATTAGGTTGGTTTTTGCATTGTTGAAATTTGCCATTTGATATTGGAATACATTCTTAAACAAATGTGGTTATATTATACATTTTAATGCACAGTTCTGGCTTTATGATTTCTTTTTGCCAATTACACCTACTTGTGTTTATTTTATATGTATTTTAGAGTATGGAAATGATGTCAGACAAAAAGCAAATTCAAGCAATTTTCTTATTCGAGTTCAAAAGGGGTCGTAAAGCAGCGAGACAACTTGAAACATCAACAACACATTTTGCCCACGAACTGCTAACCAACATATGGTGCAGTGGTGGTTCAGGACGTTTTGCAAAGGAAACATGATCCTTGAAGACGAGGAGTGTAGTGGCCGGCCATCGGAAGTTGACAATGACCAACTGAGAACAATCATCACTGCTGATCCTCTTACAACTGCAGGAGAAGTTGCCAAAGAACGCAACATCGACCATTCTACGGTTGTCCGGCATTTGAAGCAAATTGGAAAGGTGAAAAAGCTCGATAAGTGGGTGCCTTGTGAGCTGACCACCAATAAAAAAAATCGTGGGTTTGATGTGTTGTCTTCTCTTATTCTACACAAAAACAATAAAACATTTCTCCACCAGACTGTGACGTGCGACGAAATGTGGATTTTATACAACAACCAGCGATGGCCAGCTCAGCGGTTGGACCTAAAAGAAGCTCCAAAGCACTTACACCAAAAAAAGGTCATGGTCACTGTTTGGTCCTCTGCTGCCGCTCTGATCCACTACAGCCTTCTGAATCCCTGCAAACCCATTACATCTGAGAAGTATACTCAGCAAATCAGTGAGATGCACTGAAAACTGCAATGCCTGCAGTCGGCATTGGTCAACAGAAAGGGACCAATTCTTCACAGCAACACCAGACCACACGTCTCACAAACAATACTTCAAAAGTTGAGCAAATTGGACTACAAAGTTTTGCCTCATCTGCCATATTCTCCTGACCTCTGGCTAATCGACTACCACTTCTTCAAGCATCTCAACAACTTTTTGCAGGGAAAATGCTTCCACAACCAGCAGGATGCAGAAAATGCTTTTCAAGAGTTCATCAAATCCCAAAACACAGATTTTTATGTTACAGGAATAAGCAAACTTATTTCTCATTGGCAAACATGTGTTAGTAATGGTTATTGTAATGGTTCCTATTTTGATTAATAAAAATGTGTTTGAGCCTAGTTATAATGATTTAAAATTCATGGTCCAAAACCGCAATTGCTTTTGCACCAACCTACATGGTCTATATTGTCTATATATCACATTGTGTATTCACCACCCAGAGTCAGTTCTCCCTCCATCACCATAAATTTGACCCCATTTACCCTCATCAAATTAAAGAGGAAGAATACTAGAATCAAAATAGCCAGTGAGAAAACAAACACTATATTTTCATATTTATACTTCAATGGCTTAAACTATAACAATCAGTAAAACAAACTTTTCTAAGGACACCCAGACAATGCCCGCCTCAACAAACATTTTATAGACTCTAGTATCAGTAACCCAAGAAGTCATGCCTAATGATTTCTAAATTGTTTGGTCAGACCTCTCGAATACTGTGAGTTATATATGTGAAGGAGCAAATGCACAGACTTCTATAGATATTTAAAAAGTTAAGTCAACAAAACAGCATTAGTTGACTCTGTGACTAAAACGTAAACTACTTTTAAAAGTATTACCTAAGATTGTCTTCCTGTAAAATTCCTCAATTACTTAATAATAAAAACAAATGTAAATTTATAAATATACCAACAGATCTAGGACAACAAACACACTGACCTAAATTACCCAGGGTTTTTATTTTGCTTTTCAAGTATTTTGAAATGCTAATGTGACTTGAAGAATACAAGTAATCTGAACTGCCACAAAATATGAAATGTGTAAAATGGCAACTTAGCCTATACATTTTTTTCTTCAGATACTTGTTAATTTTGTTCCATGTGGATGAAGAATGAGACAGTGTAGTTAATTGTTATTTATTTGCTATTCACTATATTCTTTAAGGGTTTTGATTCAGCTATACAAAAACAACAATCCAGGCAGAAAATTGGCAAATGTGCTTGAAACTATTTTCTCCAGTGAAATCATCTTATAATGATTTGCAAGAGTTGAACATTTCTGAAAATACATAAATCTACATAGGACAAAAATTTATAATTATATAAACATATGTGTCATCCAGGATTTAACTGAAAAACTGAGGATAAAATTAATACAGAAAAATGGTAAAATACGATTTAAAAATTAAAGTTTAAAAACTTATAAAAATGGCATGATATCAGAAATGGTAAGACTTGAAACATAACTTTAAAAATCACATTGAGGGCAGACCAAGTGGTGCATTGGTTAAGAACTGGCTTGGGACCCCAGATGGCCCCGGTTCGGATCCCACATATGAGGGCCAGTGACACTGCCCTCCACAGCTAAGATGCTAAACAACAGCTCAACCTGGACCTGGGCTGCCATGAGTTGCCGGCGACAGTGTAGGCTGCAGCCCCTGTGGCAGTGGGTTGCCATGGGCTACTGTATGTGGCCAGCAGTNGGCAGCCCAGCTCTTAGCTGTAGAGGGCAGTGTCACTGGCCCTCATATGTGGGATCCGAACCGGGGCCCTCTGGCATCCCAAGCGAGTTCTCAACCATCGCGCCACTCGGCCGGCCCTGAACTGCATTTTATATGGCAGAGCCTCTTGGTAGAATAACTTGAAACTCATTTTTCTTTCCCTACTTCTCTAATTTTTCTTTAGCATAGTTTCTGAATTTCAATCAAAACATAAAAATTAAGCAGAAAAAGAATAACAGAAAAGCCAACGTGGAATAAAACTAAATGACAATTTTATAAACCTCAGCATATTCTGAGGAATAAGAAAAAAACATAAATTCAAATAAATGATTTACCAAATATTAATACAATTAATCTACCTGAAACTGTTTTATTTTTGTAAAGCCTATTACAAAGGAGAAGCAGAGATTAAAAGTAAATGTTTTGCACATCATGATAAGTAGCTCAAGAGGCAAAATTATTATCTAAAAGGAGGGAATTGGAAGCTTCTGAACTCTCCACTATGAGGAAATGCATGTATTTATGTATTTATATATTACAGTTGGATTAAAATGTATGGTTAAGAAATATATAATAAATCCCTTCTTATCTGCTTATGGAAAATGGTGAGTACATGAAGGAGCTGAGAAGAGGCAATTAGTGGAGGGCATGGTCAATTTAAGTGTGCTGTTATTTCTGTAATTTGAAGGTGCATTTGATTCTCAATGTAACACACACACACATACCCACCCATAGACATAACTGTACTTAGGTGTGTATATGTATGTATTGCTGTTAGGAGAATAAAGCTGTGGGGACGGAGAAAAGTGAGGAAGAGAGGAGAAAAAAAAGGAGACAAAACATAGAGCAAT